AGGGTCATGAGCTATTGTTGAATTTGCAAGCTTTTGATGAGACTTGAGGCACTGTTGAATGGGCTTCTTACTGGGTTAAGTCCAGGCCAACATTTTCTGCACTGTAAACTCCTCTGTTAGACAAGTGTCAGACTCAGTCACTGTAGGATTTCTTTTAGCTCAGTTTCTAAAATTTCTTAGGGAGAGCAGTTTTGATGGTTCTCCGATGTGTTTTTGGGAACCAGATGACTAGCAGGGAAATATAAAGCAGTTGGATAGATAGAAAATACCAGACCCTGTCAAAAACTATTACATTAAAAAAGAAAAATTGCCATCCCGAGAAAACATGCCTCCAGATACCACTACCGATGAGCTCACACACAACTCTACACTCTGGTGACCCTGCCAAAAAGAGCTCCTGGAAAGGCTTTGCCACAAAGGTGGGGGAGGACTGACTTTCCAAGGTTGAAGCCTTGCATTTTTTTGTTGTTGTTGTTGTTTTTGTTTTGGATGGGAAATTATGCCCCTGATTCTTCTTTTCTTCTAGATTCTGAATTTACTCATGTAGGGAATAGTAGCATGGTTTTTCCTTCCAGTTTCCATGCAGTTTTATTGGGTTTTCCCACCCATCCTGGGTTATGACTGTCATTATTGTCCAGTCAGGAAGGCAGCAAGCTGTTGTCTGCAGGTAGAGGGCACGGCTGAGATAGCAGGCCGTTTATACTCCCCTGGATGAGGGAATACCCATCATGCCACATTCTCTATTACAGGGAGATTTGATGAGCTTATGCCTTCCTCACAGGATGGCCTGGATGAGTCATTTCTTCAGTCCGCACCAGCCCAACTCAAGCATGGCCATCTACCTACTGCTTCTATAATCTTCTAACTTGCTCCCTCTTTTAGTCCTTGCCTCCTTACAATTTACTTCAAAGAAAGCAGCCAGTGTGGGCCATTTCCAATTGGATGTTACTCTGCTTCCCCCAATTCTCTGAAGCTCCCAAGAACCAACCATGGCTCTTGATCCTAGCTCCCTTCTCCCCACCATTTTGCCTGTGTCACCTGTAGCGACAAGGCCATCTTGCTTTTCCTTAGACGAATCAAACATGCTTGTGGCTCAGGACTTTGCTTTGCTATTCCTCAGTGGTTCACTCCCAAACTTCCACCAGGATTCTCTGCTCGAGTCACTTCTGTAGAAGGCTTCTGTGTTATCTAAAACAACACATTTTCTTACTCACCACTCCCATACTTTTTGCTTTGCTTTGTAGCTCTTACCACGGCCTGAAATGTTCATGTGTGTTAAGCACTTGAGTCCTAGCTACAGTAAATCCCCTAAAGGATGGTGTTCTGCTCTGTGTGTTTCCACGGGCTCCCCAGAATCCAGAACAATGCCTGGTATAAGAGGTGCTGAACAAATGAGTGAACAATGACAGTGCATGTGGGGTGAGTGTGTACATAAGTGGAGGGTAACTTCTGAATGGACTGGTCATTAATCTGTGGTGCTGGCAGGCACAGGTATTCACTGAAAGGCAAAAACATGTTTGCTATTTCCCCTAAATGATGTTCAACCTGAGATATGCCCACTATCCTACGCCCTTTTTGCACCCTGTTATGATCAGTGTCCCAAAGCCTGAGAAGGAATACCAATCGCTGTCTAGTTATCTTAAGTCATTCTCCAGCATCTGGAAATCTCTCTGAGGAAACCACATTCATCTGGGATCAAGCAAGAAGGCAAATTTGCTTTCATCTTTAAAGCAAGAATCTTCAGCAAATTTTACATGGAATGTGTGAATTCAGAAAGATATAAACAAGAATAAGGGTTTAAAACATACTCTGCCTCCACATCAGACACTGTAGCACTAGAGATTCAGGTGCGATATTTAACATTCTCCCTTTCCTAGGTTATGGGCCAACCCATTTGCTGTGCATAATAAATCCAAAGAGTGCACCAACCTCACCTTGAGTGGTAGAAAGTTTAGCCTGTCTTCCCATTGATTAAAAGGACCAGTCTGTATAGCCAGTGAACTTAAGCCAACCACGTGTACTCTTTAGGCAGAAGGTCACGTGCATCAGGAATGGGGCTTTCTACAAAGCTACTATGTGGAGGACCATCTTGAATTTTTGGAATTTAAAAAAAAGATACTTACTACTGGCATTTTTAGGGAAGATTTCATGAAGAATGCTTGCACAGGAGCTGTTAATACAAATGTGCGTTTAAAACCAATTCCCCCAATGAATAGCAGGGAAAGATTTTGGCTTTTTTTTTTTTTATGAATTGTGAGTTTTGGGTGTAGAGAAATAGTTGCTACTTGAATGAACCCCTTTGTACATGTTGCCCCCTTTGCCTTATTAGATGCTTTTGATGGGTGCTGTCATTTTCAGATTATAACAGCTGAGATGGTAAGCAGCTTGCCTAGGGCCACAGCTGGCTAAGCCATGGGAGAAGTTCTACGCATGGCTCCACCCTGCCGCAAAGCTGGTAACCAGGAATGGCAAAGGGGCAATTTGAGAGGGTAACGCACTGGCTACTTGTGGTGGGCACTAACTGTCCTCCTAAGTACAGCAAGAGAGGGAACACCATTTTCTTTGGGTTAAATGAGGCCAGATTTGGGGAGCCCTAGTTTTTTAACACCTTCACGATGGACCTATAATTTGTATGTCCTGCTGCCAGGTGACTCCGAACCACTGGGGGTACAGGCATGACTGGCCTATTGGGCAGCACGGGAAAGTCCTGTTGGGTGGTACAAGGCACCTTGTAGGTCAGCCATGCCTGCACCACCAGTGGTACAAACTGCCCGGGAGGACAGTCGTGCCTGTACCATGGGTGCTCAAGCCGGCTGGAAGGTGCTAGTCAGAAACGGGGGACTGGAGTCATCCTCAGAAGCTCAGTAGAGAACAAAAGGAAGACGTGAGTGAAAGATTTTATCAAAGGTCTCTAGAAAGTCTTGCAAAAACTGTCTTCAAAATAAACTTTATTCAAGATAAAAGTGCAATTCTTTAATAAAAAGAAGACAGCAGGACAGGATGCATCCCTCCATGTGCCTGTGGAGTTTTGAAGGTTCTGAGGGTGGTAATTTGGCTGTGTGAGGTGGACTCCTGAGGCAGTACATGCTCTTAAGTCACATTTTAGTATCAGCTGTGACATTTACAAAGGGCATAAGAGTTTTATGAAAGCCAGTCATTTTGTTCAAAAACTTTTCTCCCTGTGCAAGTGGGCAGATTTAGAAATATCTGGGTGTTGGTGTTCATGTAGGATGCCTAAAATTTAATTCCATAGCTACAGAATCAGTTGAAAAGTTGTGATTCCTGCTATCTTCTTGGTATGTCTCTTCCTATATAAGAGCCTTAGAAATTAAGATTTATTGTATTATAGTTTGTTTTCCCCCGATATTACCCACATGAATGATGTTACCTGTTGATAAATTCCTTGGGGAATTTCTATCTTTTTTTTTTTCTTTGCAATCCCGTAACTTACTTAATTCACTTGGATAAATAAGGAAAATCATTCTGGAATGTCTAGTATCTTAAAGGCATGGCATGAAACCGAGTTAATCTGTGCTGTCCTAATGTGAGCTTTATATTTCCATCCCTCATCATATTGGAAGGGGCACCTGAGACACCTGAAGACTGCTGAAGCACCCTAAAATCAGTAGTGAGGGGGACCCAGCAAACATACAATGTGGCATCCAGTTTAACCTTTAAATAACATGGCATCCTTTTCTGAGAGAAGATGGCGGTAAGCTCACAGGGTTTAGAAGCTTTTGGTTTTCACATCTGCAAGGTGGAGCTCATAATACCTGCCTATTAGGGGTGCTGTGATGACATGGAGAGCATTAAACACGGTATTAAATGTGTGGTAAAAAATGAAGGGTGACACAAAATATTTTGGTGGCCATCCAAAGATTATGCAGGCTCCAAATATTTGTTTCTATGTCATAGGCAGTGAAGTCAAAAGATTGAGGCAAACACATACTAGCTATGATTCTAGGGTTTACCATGTAATAATTCTCTAAGCCTTCGTAACTATACGAGGTGACGTCGTTACCTAAGTTTCATACTTAGGCCTCATTAGAAAGGTGTAAGGGAGAACATTTGTGTCAGGGTCCCATGCATTTTACACTCATCGAGCGAGGTTACCTGTAACTCTCTCTGGTAAAGCCGCTTACCAGCTCCTGGACTGTACAGCAAGAGAGAGGCCCCGCATTTACAGTGATATTCAGTAGGGATGTCTACCTGGTACATACTAAGTGCTGCACATCATGTTAAGCTCCTGCAGTGCATCTCTTATCTTTGCCATGATTAGTAGGTGAGATAGTCCCCATCAGCTCCATTGGACAGAGGGGCTTCGTGACTTGCTAAGCTACCACATATAAGACCATCACAGAAGTTTGTCCTGTTAAATGCACATCCTGCTGCTTCACAATAGAACCACCTGGCCTCCTGGAACTGCTTTGAGATGACCCAAGGTGCCCTGCAGAGCCCACAACCCCCACACTCGGCCTGACTTACTCTTGCATTAGTGTTCACAGATGGAAGGGGACTGTGTCAGTGCCCTACTTCAATCCCACTTCTCAGATAAACCAGAAACACGACAGCTTCAGGAGTCACCATGAGAAATGGGATTCACTGTATCTACGAATTTCCCAAACTTCACATCTAGGACCTCCCTTCTGGCTTACATTCAACTTTGTACTAATGAAGGCAGATGTGAATGAAATATATACTAATACAAGTGATTATCCTTCGCGTAAACTTCTTTGAGTTGTTAACCTCCAAGCTAGATTTGAAAGAAATGTTTATAAAATTGTCACCTTCAAATTCCTTCTATACTTGAAAACAAGGTAACTTTGAAGCTTTTTCTAGACTTTTATTCTCAAATCTTGAGGTTAAAATAGTATATTAAGTAACCGAGGGCTTAGCTTGAGGGATCAGGATTAGAAGGTATATTATTATTCTCGAATCTAAATTAGCAAAAAGATGTGATTTTCTTTTTTATAAGTTTTATTGTCATTAAAAGGAAGGAGCACAGGTTTATTTGCATTTAAAGCAACACATTATTGCTTAGGAAAGATTTCATGTGGTAAGAACTCTAGGTAATTATTCCAGTTGCACTACATAATACAAGAGAAACCCTTCAAGAGAAGCCCCCAAGAATCTTCTGGTTTAGGGTGAAAACAGTTAAAAGCTAGACTTTAGATTAGTCTCCAACTTCTGCTATGTACTTAATGGAAGCTTTAGTCCTTTAAATGCTCCCTAGTGCTACTACTCTAAGCCTGTCTTCTCTTTAAAAAAATTTTTGTTACCAGGGATCGAACTCAGGACCTTGAGCTTGGGCAGGCACAGCAACTTTATGCCAATGCATCTCATATTAGATTCTTTAAAATCTTGCTAGGGTGATAAAGTGTAGGGTAGGTAGTAGTCCCTCATGAACTATTATTACACACTGAATTGACTAACACTCCTGCTATGTAATTCTTCTTATCTCAATATAACTGTTTAGCTACTTAATTTTTTCCCCCAAATGAGTTTGTTCCTCTTAAATTAGGTACAGTGAGTTGTAGCTTGGAGTTTTACTGGCAGACAAGGTAAAAAAAGAGATGTCTTAGACTCTTTCAGGGGCAGAAATTGGTACCCAGAACCTAAAACAACACATAGAATGATTATAAGCCTAAAGAAGATGACAGAGAACAATGCTTTATTTGCAAAACTATGACTTTGAGTCTTATAATGATTAACATTGTATATCCTTATAATAGGGGAAAACACTGGTATCTTTAAGCTTCTAAAAGAGCATTTGGTATTTTTTTAATTAAAAAAAAATAAATCAGTTGTTTTAGTACCACAGCGGGGTCAAAGCACCGAAGAAACACTTCAGAGTTTACATATGATAAATACCATCCTACTTACCAAATAGGCACTTCAGCAGGTCCCTGTCAGCAAGTCAGTGGCTTGGTGTGTTCACTGTTCATTCTGATGAGTACTTACAGAGTAAGGACCCAGTAGGCAACAGACAGTCCTACCTCAAAGCCTCCAGCCTTTTCCTTCTGTGTGGTTGACTTCCGGACATCCCACAAAAGAAAGGTCCAACTCTAGCCTTTCTCTTTCATCCATTCGGCCAAAATGGCAAAGGACTGTCCATGAGATAACGGAATTGGCTTCCTCTTCATACAGAGTTACTGACCTCCTTACCTAAGCCAAAGGCAAGAATGCCTTCTTATTCCAAATGCAGGTGTATTATGCATGTTCCGCCAATCTATTCATCTATCCAAACATCTGCTCTTCTTCTCGCTGGTGCACGTGTATTCCAGATGGATCGTCCACCTTCTGCAGTGGACGCTCCACCTCACAAATGGACCTACAGCATCTTGTCAGTGTTTTAGGCTTTGGATCTTCCTTTGCTTCCAGGCATCTGGAGACTTTACAGTAAGGAAGTGATGTCCAATCTCACCATACTCAAACTCCTTTTTTATTCTTTATACTAAAAGTTCCAGAAACTGACCACAGAAGGAATCTGTCCTAGTCTAGCCAGGCTGACAATTTTGAACATACCATAATGGTAGTAGAATATTAGAACAGTGGTTTTCAAACTTTAGGTTACATCGGTATCATGGGAAGGGCTTGTGAAAATGTAGATTCCTGGGCCCCAAGCTCAGAGTTTCTGATTCGGTAGGCCTGGGATGGCGCCCAGAACGCATATTTCTACAAGCTCCCACATGAAACAGATGCTGCTGTAGCCGGGACCACGCCGAGAACCACCACCTTAGACTCAAGAATGATGCTGGTTGTTATCCTTCCTGACCATTTCCATAGTAAGACAGAGTAGACTTTCATAAGAAGAAAGCCCTTCCCTACGCCTTAGAAGGCACTTGTCCTTGATCTACATATGACAGAATATGGAAAACAGAGAATCGCGTATGAAACCGCAGAATTCTTAGAAATTTCAGCACATGCTTCTAGATCAAATGAATGAGAAGAGGAGTTCTTCTGTAATCAGGAGGAATTCTGGGTACAGACAAAGGTAGTGTCTTTTACAAAATAAGAAACACTGGGAGAGAAAATGTTAAATGGTACCTTGCCTTTAGTTTGTACTTCGTCTTGAGAGAAGCTTGCCCAATTACAGGGTTACACAACGACATCAAGAGTGGCAGCTCATACATTTAGTTAGAAGACTTGATGCTACTCAGGCTGTTTTTTTTTAACAATTCATCTTAGAGGAATAGGCACAAACCATGGTTAAGCTGCTTGATTTAATTTTTAGCACTTGAAAAAAAAATGTACAGCAGTTTTTGAACACTCAATCTTTGTAAACCTCTATGGAGGTCAAAGATCTCATTCTTACGTACAAAATTAGTTTACAAATTTTTTGGCAATTTCATCTTAGTAACCCGTTTTATCCTATTGCCATTGTCCCAACCATTGAAAAAGTTTACAATAATTTACATAGAAATATTTTCAAAGTGCTTAAGAATAGTGATTGTTCTCTGGGATATTTACAGATGGCCTGTACAATGTATGTACAGGTGGTGTACACTATAGCACAAGTTTCATTGCTGGAATATGGCTTTCTAGGGAAAGTGCATATTTGGCCAGAGGTGGCAATACTGTCTAAAAATTCAAGGGTTACAGATACTTGGTAACCACATCCAAAGCTGAAGGAGAATGTGGACAAGAATATTTACAAAAATAATATAAAAATGGTCAAGTATACAAGCTTGATCCACACAAAGGTATCTTGGTGTTCTTCCAGATGGGAGGAAGAAAGAGACTTCAGCTGCGGGCTCGGTTACCATTCCAAACTGGCTATTACTGGTTTAACCTCAACGTCAAGACAGGCCTCAGAAGTCAAGATAGATCATCATCTGTGCTTACAACTGATATCTGTGGAAAAGAAAAAATTTAGATTGAGCTTGGTGATCACTCACAGTTGGCACCTCTGGTCTCTAAACTGTAACTTGCTTTTAAGTTAGTCATTCAAAGACCAAAAGTACTCAGGAGGAAGTAAAAAACGAAACAGTATTGAGTGGTAGCACTCATGCATTTAACTTGATTTCAACTCCCTAACCGGAAAAGTCTGAAATCTGAAATGTTCAAAAATGTGAGATGTTTCTAACCACTAATGATACGACAGGTGGAAAACTTCACACGTGACCTCATGTTACGAATGGGACGCAGTCTAAATGAACATGAATGTGTGCTAAGAGCACTGTATAAAATTACCTTCAAGCTATGTGTACAAGGTATATATGAAATAAATGGAGTTCATGTTCAGACTTTGGTCCCACTCCCAAAATACTTCATTATGTATATGCAAATATTACCAAATCTGGAAAAATCCAAAATCAAAAATATTTCTGGTTCCATGTATTTTGGGTAAGGGCTACACAACCTGTACCTACTTGGCAGGGTGAAGAGTATGACTGATTCTGCAGATTCTATATAGTGATCATAGTCCTTGGAAAAAAAATCTGAAAAGACACAGGTGTGCTACAAATTGACCACTATTACATGTGTCTCCAGCGAGCTCAAGAGGGGAGTGCTCAGTATGTTTTGGTCAGCTTATTCCTTAGTGAAGGCCAAATAATCATTTGGGTTTCATCTGAAGGACAAATGAATGAGTTCACCTCTGAAAGACAAGCTAGCCTCACTAGGTAGAAAAAGGTATTTTTCTAAGTAAAATAATCAGTACTTTTGGGTTATACTGATTTAAGCCAACTCATTCATACATATATATTCCCTACATAGATTTATGTAACCAGAACTCAGGGATTTCACAGTTTGAAAAGAAGCTACTTCGTTCGAATATGTAACCAGAACTCAGGGATTTCACAGTTTGAAAAGAAGCTACTTCATTCGTGCTAGCATTTACATGTTGCTTTTGCAACAAACATACCTCCAAAACTGCAGTAGTGAAATGATCTTAGAGGAAACCCACTTGCCATCATGTGTGGGTGAGATGTTTATCAACTGACTGGCTTATGTTTTAAGAGGCTCGCCTGTCTGTTTATGATCCTAGTGGCTGTTCCTAGCCCAAGCAGCCATAGCTCAAGTTCGTGGTCTCCTTTAAGAAGTGTCTCACTTCACGTCATGGCGTGTTAAGGCGCAAAGCTGACTTACTGCTGGGTAAGTGTGTCCGACCGAAGCACTGTGTCTGCCGATGTCTATTGAGAGGTCCTCTTCTGTGGTCTTCAGGTACACAGGGTTGTCAAAGTTCATGCTCTTCATGTTCTTGTGTTGCCAGTTCCTCCACATCAGGTAGCCACCTACTGCTGCCATTGCTAAGAGTACTGCAAAAAGTGAGAGGGTGATGAAGTGAGGTCTGGCTTCCAAACGTGTGCAAAGAGTAACATGCAGGGATCCAGGACCACTGCCATTAGTAAAGGGCCCAAGTTTTAGAGAGGTGGGATAGCTAAAAGTTGGCATGTAAATGAGCCAGAAGATAATAATAAAGCCTAGCTCAGTGGTTGTGTTATTCTGAGCTAGCTGCCTCCAGCCAGGCAAGTGCACAGTCCCGGGCCCCACACCTAAGCCAACTAAATTAAAATTGCAGAAGCTTCTGGAGTGCTATTCAGGTTTTCCCAGTGTTAAATCAGGTTGGAAGCAAGTAATCTTGGATAAAGAGACCATTAAAGCAAAAGGCTTTAGTTTATATGTTTGATAATAGCTTCAAAAGTCCTTTCTCCTGGGCTTGAAATACTTAACTACTTTTAATTCACCTTTTATAAGTCCTATAATTCTTCAGGAAAGGATTTAAGCATTTGTGCATCTCCTCTGCATGAAGTGGCAGAAACATTTCAAAGGAGCACAGAGCTTGTTAAAGGGACTTACGGTACATGGGGCTGGGCCAGCCTACGGACTTGAAAGTGGAAGGCAATAAGCACCTTTTATGTAACTGTTGAGTACTCAGCACTGACTGTTACTGTGGGGAGGACAAACTAAAGAGAAATACAGAGCTGTAGTGTGTTGGGGTCGGGGAGGGAATGTGATTTGGTGTCACAAGGACTATGACAATGTACAGGTAGGTGAGTCCAAGAGAACTGGAAATGTCCATCTGTTATCTGAGAAACTTCTCAGGTGCACACACAAAGGGCATCTACTTACAGAGGGGGAGGATGGCCCAGGCAGCAGAAGTTGCTTGTGGGGGAACGCTGACTTCTGGTATTGCTGTGGTTACATTGATCTCTACAGGAGAAGAAAAGGAATCAGTTTAAAAGGATCTGAATTCAGGCTCAGAAATCTACCCATCAGGTGGAGACGCTTGTACTTTTGCACCCAATCCTGATGTCCAATGTCTCTACAATTACAACACTGTGGCCTAGAAGTATTTAAGTCTCACACTCTAAGAGCCATTGCAGTAACAGTTTCATAATAGAAACATTAATCAGTTGGGGGCAAGCTAGGATACGCAGGTTCTAAGACTTTGGAATTTAAATATAGGTTGCCAATAAGGGGCAGAGGTAGCCGTTAAAGGTTGAATTAATTGTTTAAGCTATAAAAATGTGGCTGTTAGTTGAGATTAACAGTTTTCAGTACTGAGCCCAATACCTCCAGGAACTAGTCCACTAGTTGGTAGAATTTCTGTTGTGTTGGTATCTTTTGACTCACTGTAAGCCACAGTAGTTGGAGTACCTGGATTGTAAAAACCAAGAACCTGGTTAATGCCAAGGTTCCCGAATGGCTAGCTGTTTAGTTCAGACAAGCCATGCAAAAGGTTATTTTAATACCAGGTGCAAGGGGCAAACCAGTGCTGACCTAAGTCACCCAGAGGATGCATCTAAATTGACAGAAATGGTCTTTGTGCAGAAGCAGAGATACAAGAAACTGAGGACCGAACAGTCAGCTTGTGGAATCTGACAATTCAAAAAAATGCATAGCCACACTTAACCATTCTTAACAATATACCAGACTCCTGGAAATTAAAAGAAACAAGTAGATTCTCTAGTGTAGCAAGCTAACCAAACTGTCTTGCAACTACTTTCTCAGTAGTGACTCAGTTCCTATCATGTCACAGAATTAAGCTCATCATGAGTTCGTTGCTCACAAGTAAGTTTTATTTGCCACTTAATTGAAAGCTAAGAGGGAAAGCTTGAAATGAAAGTTCAGTTTAAGATCCCAGAGGGCTGTCTGTTATCACTGAAAGCTCTAAATTGTTCGCCATCACTGCAGTAGGCCAGGAGGTTTCTTGTAATCAAGGCCACCCTTAAGCATAACTTCAGCCTGCCTTCAATGGAAGGAAATGTTAATACTTTGTTTAGTTATTTTCAAGTCAGCTAGCTCAGTGATGTTATGGGACTAAGGGGTACAATTGGCAAGAGCCATGTCGATGTCTTAGTAACCTAAAAATTTACCTAATGTTGACGTGGATTACAAATTAGGTCTAAAGTGCCAACATGAACACCTAACATGCAACAACAGAGGATATGTTTTCAAATTTGTTCCAAGAGTTAGCTAAAACAGAATTCCAGGCCAGTTTTTATAGCTAGTGGCTTATATCACCTATGTGTGTCCTGCCTGTTTTCAAAACACAGAAAGCCTTACTTTGGCATCGTCGCCCATTTTCCTCCAGATTGTACCCATTGGGACAGGAGCAGGTGTACTTTGGAGAGTGTTCATTAATTTGTGGTGCTGGCAGGCATAGGTATTCACATCCTCCATTCACCGTGTCTTCGTCACACCAGTTTTTGCCTACTCAGAAAAAAGTCCTTTAATGTACATATTCCACGGCCTACAATATAGAAACTTTTGGTTCCACAGAGCTGAGACTTGTCTACTCTGTCAAATCTTTAAGTGAAGACTAATATCAATGGGAAATAAAGGCACCAACCCCTAAGGACACGAAGCTCAGAAAGGCTTCTTGGAGATAGAGTAAGGACTACAGTATTCCTCAAGAGACAAGGGTCATAGTGGGGAGGGAGGTGTCATGCATTGAATTGTGTCCCTTCTTAAAACTTGTATAGTGAAGTCCTAATATCCTATACCTTATTTGGAGACAGAGTCTTTACAGATGTAATCAGGTTACGATGAGGCTATTAGAGTTGGCCCTATTCCAGTATGCCTGGTTTCCTTCTCAGAAGAGGAAATGTTAACACACCATGTAAAGGGGGAAGATGTTATGCACAGGCAGATGGCCATCTAAATGCCAAGGAGAAGGGTCTTGGACAGATCCTATCCTCAAGTCCTCAGAAAGAACCAAGCTATCACAGCTTTGATTTTGGACTTTTAACCTCTAGAACTGTGAGAAGATAAATTTCTATTGTTTAAGACACCCATTTGTTGTACTTTGCAATTCTACAAAATGAATAGTAGATAATGTTTGTGGCATAAAAGGCTGATATGAAGTCTGGTGCAAGAGGCTTAGCAAGAGGGGTATGGAAGAAATGGAGACAAAAGCTCTGACATGGAGCGTTGGAACGTAGCTAAGAGCTGACGTTCTGAAGCTCTCTCAGAGAGATGGCAGAAATAAGGTACCAGTCATTTGAGTACGCAGTGTTTGAGGTAGGAACAGGAGGGCAAAAGCTCCGTTGAAAGGAAAATAGAACTGGTAAAGAACAATTGCTACCCAATAGGTTTTGGGTCACACTGCTGCCTTATGGAGTCACTAAAGACTGCACTTCCCCTCGTTACCTGATGGCTGTACAAGTTCATGATAGATGATGATGTCTTGGGCATCATTGAGGTTGTTCACTAGAGTTGCCAACTCTGATCCAGTGAATTTATTGGCACCATAAACTGCTTCATTTTCCCCATCTATCCAGTACACACGATCCTGAAACAGCCCTTGTGATTAGTATACACATCTACAAGTGAATTATCTGCAAGTAATTATCATTGCTTCCTGGCTCCTTCATGGACTAAGGTTTACATTTAATGACACGTTAGATGTAAAACTGTAAGAGAAGCAAATAAAGGTTTCTCAAAGTGCTTCGAGGAATTACTACTCATTTATACTGGGAAATTACTATTCAATTTATACTGGGTTTTAAGTGAAAGTAGTTTTTTATGGTATCCTATGATCTTCCCTTTCTCTGCCTCATCTTTCTCCTCCAAGTCAACAGCAACTTAGATGAGTGACACACATCTTACCTCAAATATTGTTAGGGCAAGAGGGTGAGCCAGGAATTCCAGAGACTTTAGGACTATCCTACGATCTTGGCCATTCAAGTCCACACTGGAAAGCATGTGCAACTTGGAATCAAGCCAGTAGAGACGGCTTTTTATAAGGTCTAGGTAGAAAAAGAATAGACTTTATATGGTAGTGATTACTGCTGTAGCTTCCATTTAAAATATCTGAGGAATCTAATATGCTTTCCTGGTTCCTTCTTCCACAGGGATTGTTAATAAGGGTCCCACAAAATGTGTGAAGCTGCATACAGAATCTATCTACATTCATTTGGAGGACTAATGGGGTTATCTAAAGATCTCAAAATGATTACCTTAAGAAAAGTGACCCTGTAGAAAGTATTAAAAGAAGCTAGCGTTTTGGTCCTTTATCTGGGATGAGCCAGAGCAGAAACATTACAACATTGCAGGTCCGGAAATGCTAAGGCACCTTTGCAGGGAGAATTTAGAGTTCAATGAATTTGTGCCACATGCCCCGCAGAATGGACAACAAGCTAGTCATTATGGTGCATGTAACTGTTAATTCCAACATTCTGCTGGTGTTGTTCAGTTACTCTTACAGAATCAGGACAGGCAGCTGGTGTAGTCCAGGTTTTACGATGGAGATAGGTTGAAACACTCTGAAGACAGTTGCCCGGGGAGACAAGGAGTGCATACATACCAAGGGTGATTCCGTTAGGCCATTGGATGTCCACAGTCACCAGTGGGCGTCTATCAAATCCATTCATTCCTGCTTTTTCTATTTTAGCTGGTTCACCCCAGTCTGACCAGTAAACAAAGCTAGGAAGAATCAAACCAGAAAGACACCTTAAAGGTTTAGAAGGAATAAAGTTGTACCTTGAAGCAAAAGTTTAAAGTGTAAACAGGAAACAGACTGATTCTCTAGAGACAAAGAGTAACACTTAGCAGGTCTAAATTACATTCTGGGTAAAATTTACCACCACGAATCTACAAACTCATTATCAACTGTATTAATGTGTATTAGTCTGACACTTAAACTTCAGCCCTAAGTCACACAGTTATATATATCCTTTTTAAATGGAGAACTTTGAGAGGAGTAAATAAATATCCCTTAAGTTTAATAGTAGATGCTGGCCGATTACATTCAAATGATACTTCACGCAGGCCGACTGTAATTAGTCTCACACTCTGCTAGGCCCTCTAGCTGCCTTCTTTAGTCTTCGTGATCAGCCCACTCTGCGGGTAGTCTCTGTATGTGTATCTCACAATTACCTGCTCAGAGAAGCCGCATCTAATCCAGTCAGATACTCTTCAATCTAAAGTGCCTCTGAGCATTGGGAATCTACGTTAATCACCACTTGGGCCACCAACTTGCCAGAAGGAGAATGGTATGTGTAGTCTACTCTGCCCTGGCCCAGCCAACTGTACCCAGGTTAGACCCATTACAAAACGCAGGGCACGGTGATCTGTGGGAGCGCTGGGGGTTCCTTTCCTCATGGGGCAGAGGCAGAGTGAACAGCTTTTCCAGTACCCACTTCAGAGCTCTCGCTCAGAAAGGAGAAAACAAAATATCCCACTGTGGAGCAGGATAACATAAATTTCATCGCAGTTTTCCAAGTTATTTATTATTTGATCCTGAGCGCTTTTCTATTTGACTGAAGGACACAGGGAAATAAGGTGCTAGCATTTAATGACACTCTTCTATAATTCCCCTTAACCATGTTCCAGAATGGTAAAATATTAATTTTGTATTCAATGATTGTGAATAGTTTCTGATATCATGTTATAGCCATTCAAAGTTTTTCTTTAACCACAGTGTAAAATGATAGAAAATTAAAGATGAATCAGGCTTTATGAATAAGCTTTCTTGTACGTGTTCCTTTTAGCTTAAAAAAACACCACAAAATAACAATAACAAAAAAACACCCTCAGTCAACTTTAGGGAAACCCCTCAATGAAATGTTATTAGGAAAGTCTGTTTATTTTAACAGAACTTTCAAACACATTGCACTTCTAAATGGAAACCTTGAAGCAATGTGGTTATCAAAATCCCAAACATTTCGTGCTACTGTTGAGGTCTGCTCATCCATAGCTAACCTAGCAGCATGTTCATCCAAGAAGAAGAAAAAACGAAAGTCACTTGTACAGAAGTTGGGTAGGCGTCATTCTTCAAAAGTTTCAGATAATTTTGGGTGGATATAACATACGAGATTGTAAGTACTGTCATACAGAGGGGGACATTTCATCATGGCACCACCGACATCCTGAACCAGATCTTTCGTATTTCTGATAAATCTTGGGCTGTGTGATAGGAACCAGAATACAAACCCAGACAACGGGTCCACAGCTATGGAGGCAGGCTCTCGCAAGTCAGAGTTAAACAGGAACTTCCTCTTGGTCCCGTCTAGGGTAGCTACTGAAATAGTCTTAGAAGCCGCATCAGTCCAGTAGATGGTCTTGTACACCCAATCAACAGCAATGGCTGCAGGATTATAGACATTGTCGATCATTTTAACATGTCTACCAACCTTGTCATCAATTGAGGCACTGAAACAGAATAGGTCACAAGAAATTTATGAGTCTGTCACATCAGAGCCTGGAGAAGGGACTTTCTGCCTATAAATGCTCAGGGATTTTATTCAAAAAGGCTAACTTCATAGCTAATGACATCGTAGTTAAGAACATCAGAGCTAATAACGTCATAGCTCGCCACTCAAATTATTCCCCCATGCTGCTTGTCAACGCTAAATTAGTCATACTAGTTTACTAGGTTATCTAGGTGCCGATGTTTACTCTGTGTGCCAACACAGCAAAATTCTAAGTGAAGTTATTTGTTTCAGTAGCCATCATCTGAGTTCTCAATAATTCCCATTTTAAAAAGCTGCTGCTACCACCATTTCTATTTGTAGCAATAAGAAGCAGTTCTCAACTGTAGAGAAAGGGAGAAAATATGAGAAATGAAGGTGTCATCTGCTGCAATCTTCCTTCTGTCATCACCTTTTACTTCATAAAGGTTAATTTCTAATTACAAGCTAACAGCTTAATAGTTAAAGAATCATTATGACATCTGATTTTCCTAGGTAAGTACATGCTAGGTGGCGGTAAAGAAAGGAGAAAGAACTCCCTCCAGTCCTTCCCACAGGCCAAGTGGCAGTGACTTGGGCTAAGAAATGGGAATGCAACTGAAAGTTACCTGAAGATGGCCTTTTGGTTCAGATCGGCCCAGAACAGTTTCTGAGCAGCAATATCAGCATCAAGAGCAACAGTGTTTCGTAGCTGCTCAATGAGTTGGATATATTCTCTCCTCTCTAAACCAATCTTCCTGATGTCTCTTCGGTTAGTAAAGATCAAACTTGGTTCTTTTCCTGCAAGACAAGAGTTAAGTGGACTCAGCTTTTCTAGGAGGAGGCAAGGTCATCTCCTTTCCACAGAGGAGCACTTGCAAAGTAAAGATACTGCTGGAGGCAGTAGCACTGGGTCTGGAGTTTCTGCCCCTGGGACCTGAAAGTGTTTTCTCTGTTCTAGGAAGGCAGTCCTGGTGTTACACAGTTCAACAACAGGACGGCTGAGGAACAACTTACTTATATGAATTGGACTGCTTCAGAAACAGAAAGTAAGCAGACCTACTAAGTGTTCATGTTACTGTTTGCAAACGGAATGCCCAAGGCAGATGCCCGGGGAGATGACCTGCTATTTCACCTATTCTATTGCTCTAGGAGATTAGTAGCCTTGCTCTCAAGTACTATTTAATTTCAGATCTGGTTTGACTATTGCTATCACTGGCTGTACCTTTTATAAGCACTTACTCCTAAAGGTACCAGAGCAACACCAGTCCAAGTCCATTTACCTACTGCCTTGCACACGCCAGTGGCAAGATCCATTTGATAGCCACGACTACATTCACACTTGTAACCGCCTTTTAAGTTGATACAAATTTGACTGCAGATTCCCAGGTTTTGGCATTCGTCAATATCTAGGAGGGAAATTAGAATTAGTCTTGCTGTTCCTATACCTCACTAGATGTACGCTGCCCTTTCCCATCTCCCCAGGGGCCAGGCTACCTTCTTCATCTCACCTCCACAGGTCTTCCTATCTATCAGCTTAAACCCAGCTGCACAGTCACATTCGTAGCCTATGACAAGGTCTTTGCAGATATGGGAACATCCACCATTATTTATCAAGCATTCGTTGACATCTGGAATAAGAACAACGGCCAGATCACTTGACAATTTATTCTCAGATGGTATTTGTCTTGCTGCACTTAAAATCCAGGTTATTTGTGATCACTTCTCTAGCTGGCTCATTCAAACCCATGATTTCTCTAAGCACTAATCATCTGTTTTGCAGATAATCTCTGTATCTACCCTAAGATGTGCAAGTAGACATTAAGCTCAAAATCCTTGGCAAATCATCAATAAACTAAGTAGTATTTAGTCCAGTTTCTCTATTGCTAATCAATAATCTTTCAGGAGGTTAAACTATGAACTAGTTTGTTACTGTCTAGATTTTCGAGTCAAAACATTTTGCTCTCAAGTCTAACAATTAAATTTGGTTCATTCAGAGTTTAACCAAGCAAGCCCAGGTCCAAGCATAAGACATGCTGGGCTGACCGAGTCTCCCCAGCTCTGTCCCCACACAACCCTTCACTTACGACATTCTTTCAGGGGCTCATCACTCCAGTCTCTGCAGTCCTGCTCCTGGTTACAAACTTTGACGATATCTATGCATTCGCCACTTCTGCACTTGAATTTTCCAGGGCCCAAGCAGTGATTGGCTGCAAGGAGAAACAGAGAAGAGGGGTTCCACGGGTGGGTCTGGCCAGGGCAAGCCCTCCCCTAGCCAGCATGAAGAACCCTCCCGCACCATTTTTGCAGTTGACTTCGTCAGAGCCGTCGACACAGTCTCGGATGCCATCGCACTGCCTGCTGCCGTGGATGCAGCCACCGTCCTCGCATTCAAACTGGTCCGGTCGGCAGGTTCGAGAAGCTGTGAAGGAAGGGACCGGCATGGAATGAGGCCAGCCAGGGCATCCTCAGGTGATACACGGAAGGGAACAGAGCACGCCACGCTGGGAAGAAAGGGACTTACGACAGTTGACCTCATCGCTGCCATCCTTGCAGTCAGGGTCGCCGTCACACCGCCACTTTTTGTGGATGCACTCGCCGGAGCCGCACTGGATCTCGCTGGCCGGGCACTTGGTGTGCGTCACGGGCTGGCGGCCACACTGCGCTAGGGACTCGTCCGACTGGTCTGAGCAGTCTGCATCGTCGTCACACACCCAGCTGAGAGGGATGCAGGAGGAGGTGCTGCACTGGAACTCGTGGGCGCTGCAGGTTGGGGGCGCGCAGTCGAGCTCGTCGCTGCCATCCGTACAGTCGTCCTGGCCATTGCACACAAAGTTTCTGGAGATGCAGCGGCCACTGGAGCAAGTGAACTCGTCAGGGCTACATGTTATGTTGCCTGTCGAGAGAGAAGATGCCCCATTGAAAGAGCATCAGTGTTGGTTTTTCACAAGAGTCCTGTCCCAAAATCAAATATATTGATCTTTGATTATTCATTTCCTAGCTTAGCTTACAATTAGCTTAAAAGGAATGGTGGAATCATGTCAAGAATAAGTTCCTGAAATATGGAAAAAAAAGTATTACTGTGTAAAAAAATTGCAAGCACAGTATGAATAAGAAAAGAACAGAAATAAAGGACCGAGGAAATGGCTAATGACTAGAAATTAATTTGAGATGAGAACCACAATCAACTCATAAGGGGACAGTGATCAATAACTTAGAATTATAAGCAATTTCACTTTAGAAGGCAGAGACTGAGTTATGCCTAACCCACCATACTGCACATCATGCCAGGCTGGCTGTGAATATCATGCATCAGGCATAGAGGCTAAATAATACAATAGTTGTTAAGATGCTAGAACCAAAAAGAAGTAAACCATATAGCACTATACATGGTTCCTTCTTTTTTGAAACTTTAAATGAGGATGAAGAACAAAAAGTATTAAACACTTTTAATTTTTAAAAAGTCACTGCTAGGGGTACAGACACAAGCTCACAATCCGGTCTGAAGGTAATAAGAAGCTAGTCATATCAGCTGGTTTGTACTTCAACTTAAATTCCTGCCAAACATAGTAAGATCACAATTTGACGGTAACTGGAATGCAGACCACGACTCTCTTGGGAAGCAAAGTCTAGATTTATGAGGGAAATACTTGGCAGCTACAGTGCTTACCAGTATGTACAGCTCAGTTCTAGGATTGACCTCTAAAACTCATTGGACTAGGTGCAGTGGTATTGACCTCAAGAGACGATTCCACATGTGAGACGTGTTCCAATTGCAAGGGCCTGGGGCTCCCTCCTGCACTCCCTCCAGGTGGCCACAGTCGTTAGTCTTGGGAGCTGGAGGTTTTAGAGGCCCTATAAAGAGGGCGGTAGCTTGGAAGAACTCTCAACCTAGAGAATTTTCCCAGGGCTTCACCTTTAACATGTAGCATTTTATTATGGATTTTCCAAGAACAGAAACGTGAAAGAGTAGGAAACAGAGTTTGCTTTCAGAGATAGGAAGCATTAACAGGACACAAAGTTTGGGCAGATTTTAGGCACTTTCTAGCAACCTGCTGATTCATGTTTCCCTGTCAGTTGAGGATAAGAAATGCTTGTATAATGCTTAAGTAATTTATTCCATTAAGTCAACCTAGTTAAGACCTATGGATGTGTTTGCTGGGCGTAATGAACTTCTAGCTGTCCTAAGCCAAAGTTAGGAGGGGCCTTGGATTACTCTCATAACAGAGACAAAAGCCATACAATTGCTCCCTTCCTGAGCTCCAGAGAAATTTAACTGTCCTGAAGGGCTTACCGTTTTATTTTTATTTGCCTAAAAGAAACACCAAGCAATGGCCAATTGCCATGAGAACATCTTTCAGAATTTTAGGGTAGCTCTGAAGGCCAAGCATTGAGCAGATAGTGAAGTCACTGAGAAGTGAGTCAATGTTACTGCATCTTCACGCTTAATTTAGGTTCCCTTGCCCACCCTTCTTTGAGGAAAGGGGTCTTTGGGATATGCCACTCCACACTGATCTTCTTACCACAGTTTTCTTCATCTTCTCCACTCTCACAATCACTTTCACCATCACATCTCCAGGACACTGGGATACACTGAGTAGAACGGGCACCACAGCTGATTTCATTTATGCGGCATGTTCTCATATCTGTTGATGATATACAGTCTCAAAAGAGCCTCAGAACTGATCAATGCAAAGCTGCTGCTTCTGGAAGTGTAACACCTGGAACTCTGTGGCCTGGCACACTGGGCAGATCGTCTAGCTGAAGCCTGGGCAGGTTTTCAGCTCCGTTCTTTCGAAGCCATGCCAACCAATGCCACCAGGCAGTGTACCTAAGAGCCTGGGCCATGTCACTCCTTCAGGTTCCATGCTTTTGCTTTACTTGGCACAGTTAAGTTGATGGGCTGGTCTGCACCTAGACCGCTGTCTATGTTGGCTAGAGTGTGGGCACGCCAGATAATGTCACTTCATTCCGACTTCACTGGAGGTCGGAAGGGCTAACACCTATGAAATCTTCCATTGCTCAGATTTCTAAAGGCCTCTTTCACACCCTTCTCTAGGTCAGTATCGTGAAAGCAGGAATAGGCCCCAATTCATGCCTTCCTCAGGTCATCCTACACTAAAATTTGAGGCTGGAGCTTTATAAAACCTGTCTTGAACTTCTTTTGAATCTTTAAATGACCTGCTTTAATTCATATAATTATGCCCCTTATTTCTTACTTAGAAAATTGAATTTTTCTGCTTGATTTTCTTTTATAATCACATTCTGAATTTAAACTCTGTTCGTACTAATCCTTTATTCTGCACGAGCCAACCTATACGGCTTTACAATTAACTCTAAGACCTTCTTCACCTGGGCTTTCAAATGATCCCAATTTATATGATCCAAAACCACCATCCTCTAAGGTCTAATACACTGTTCCTGCATATCAGTCTACAGAGAGAAATATGCATTTGCAAGGCTGGGAAAAAGCTGTAAGACCCCTGTTTCAGTACTTCTGAGTTACATGTTTGTTAAAAATCACTAAGTCACTCAATTACTAGTCACCTTACCTCTTCAGTAATGGCTCTTTTTTTCCCTACTATGAAAATCTGCTTATCTAAAAGCTTATACTTGGCCCATGGGGATCCTTCACATCTTGACTTAGCTTCCAGGACTAGAATACCATCTGCTCAGAATTATTAGTATCAAACGTTTGAAATCTATGCACCTAGTCAAGGAGTTCTTAATCCAATCTACTGGCTTCAGTCTTAAGTACTGAATAGTGAAGCTACCCAAGAGAATGTCAGTCTTGCTAGACCTGGGAGAATGTTCTTTAAAGCAAATTGATCAACTGTTAACAACTTGACTGACCTTGCAGTCAGTGAACCTAAACTTTAAGGCAGGCAAAAGGAAAATGAGTAACAAGTTGCAGACTAAGCATTACTTAGAACCATGAGACACAGAACAGCTTGGGAAAGTGCAAGTCCAAAGCAAGTTACACTCACGGCACTGCTCTGGGCTTTCATCAGAACCATCTTCACAGTCAGGGTCCCCGTCACACTGCCATCGGTTGGGGACACACTGGCCATTGTTGCACACGAAGTCAGACTCAGCACATGTCTTCTTTACTAAAAAAGATGATTTTCAGGGTTAAAGTTCAGGTCATTTATCCGAGATCCTTGTCATCATTATTAGGGCTACAAATATATTTTGGCATGACTTTCTGTGAAAAGAAAGCCTAATCAATTAGTACCCAACTGCCAACATCCAAGGGAACTTTAGAAAACTCTTTTTGTCTCCAGAAACAGGTGTTCATTTGAGAGACACAGAGAATACTGAAATCAAGGAAAGACAAAAGTTGTCCATTATCTCATAATCTAAAAAGGAACTTGCTTCCTGTTTATAATAGTGAGATTATATAGCACTTAAATCTCTTTATGCATTTTTTTGTCATTCACATACTTTGTAAATGTTACAATAAAATATCTGAGACAAGGTAACTTATAAAGGGAACAAATGTATTTTGGCTCTTGGTTCAGGAGGCTGGCAAGTCTAAGAACACAGCTCTGGCAACCCCTTGGCTTCTCATGAGGGTATGCTACTGTGCCATGACAAGGCAGAAAACAGAAGGACCAAGAGGACACATGTGGAAGAGGCAAAAACACAAGGGGAAGCCTTGCTTTATTAAAACTTCCAAGAAGCAAGGCTTTATTCCCTCTTCCTGAGCTATTCACTCCTTAAATGTCTCACTCTTGCCTCCATTACACCGGGAATCAAATTTTAATACGAGTTTCACAGCAGACAAATCATAGCAATAAGTAATGACTGAACCCTAGAATAACTGTTTGCTAGGGACTGAATGTGTGTGTCCTCCCAAAATTCATATATTCAAACAGTACTAGGAGGAAGGATCTTTGGCAAGTGATTAGGTCATGAGTTTGGAAAATTTACAAAGTGGATTGGTGCTTTTGTAAAAAGAAACACGAGAGCTTGCTTTTTCTCTCCCTGCTCTCCATCATGGAAGGATGTAATGAGAAAACAGCCAGTTGTACATCAGAGATTCCCTACCACACACTAGATCTGCCAGGGCTTTGACCTTGGACTTTTAACCCTTTAGAACTGTAGAAATATATTTTTGTTGTTTAAGCCACCTGGTCCATGGTATTTTTATTACAGCAGTACGGATTAAGACACTTCTATGCATTTAACGAACAGATAGAAGGTGATGCCAAGGATTGACTATTAGGACATTTAAGGTTTGACACCCTTATTGGTGAAATAGGGCAAAGGAACTCACCTCGCTAAAAAGGGAGAAAATTTATAGACAAATATAACAAGAGTGTCATACTTAGAATTCAAGCAGAGAAGATTTTAGCTCTTCTAGCCAAAGGATGGTTTAACATCAACCAGTTAAGTCACTGAAACTGCCAGGGCTAATACTCACCTAAGGCAAAGTATCAATTCTGCTACTAATTCTCCCTAGGATAAGTCTTTTCCTCCAAGCTTAGTGTTACAGTATAGTTTGTTGTTCAAAGGGATACTGCTAATTATAGCAAGAAAAGAATAAAGAACTATCAGAAGCAAAGGGAATAGCTTGTGCACCCTACCCAGAAAGGAGTGACAGAATATGGAAGTCTTGATAAAGTAGCCAGATTGGACGCCCGAGGCTAATCTGTCTGAGGTTATATTCTTTCTTGCCTACCCACCTATACTTTCTACTTGAATTTCCATTTTTCAAAAATCCTTTATAATAATAGTTTTGCTTGTAAATCCACTAAAAGTGCACAATTTGATGAAAATTTGAAAGGGACAACTTCAAGTCAGGGATTGAAAATAGGGAGTGGACTCAGAGGTTGGGGCATACTCCTGGGCCACTCTGGTTTAGCCTGAGATATTGCAAAGTGGGGAGATGGTGATGATAGTTAATCAACCCGTCTTGAGTGGCAAAAATTATGATGATTCCCCAAAGGCTTATTCATCTCTTTAAATTATGTAGTCAAGGAAACAAGAAAGGCCACGTGAGCTCTTAGATTCACATCTATTTCTAAAGTGACCTTAACACGTAAATCCTAGTGTTAGCATACTAAGTTCTGACCAAGGCCCATTGTCCTGACTGTGGAGGAAGTGGCCAGAGACTGCAAGGCTAGTTGGTATAATGTAACCTGTGATATTCTTCTGAAGTCAGAAGAGGGAGAAGGAGAATGGCCTTGGTTTTAAGAAGTAGAAAGTGTCATGATGATATGAAAGATTGGAGGTATAACACTTGAACAAAGATAGACTGGAAAAATTGGTATAGAGTTCCTTTCTCTCCATGTAGAGCACAGATAGGAGGGTGAAAAAAGACATTTGGACAAAACTGTCTTAGTTACTTTCCTTGTTGATGGGACATGGTAACACATTAAAAAAGGAAAGGTTGATTGTGACTCATGGCTTGTAGAGCTTTCAGTCCATGCATGATTGGGCAACTCCAGATAGAAGGAGCATGGTGAAAGGGCCTGAAGCAAGAGAGCTGCTTAAATTCTGGCATCTGGGAAGCAGAGAAAGTCAAGAAAGGAAAGAAAAAGGCCATGCCCCCAGTGACCTAACTCTTCTAACCAGACCCCACGAACCAAAGCAAGCCAGCTGTAAGCCCCATAATCCAACCTCTTCCCAAAAGCTCCATCTATGACTGCATGAGGCTTTCAAGGGACATCTTTACATAAACCTAACATTCTACCCTTGGCCCACGAACACCTCAAATACATCTCTTTATGGAAACTGCATTCAGTCCATCTCTGTTGCCAAAATCCTAACAGCTCCAGCATTGCTGAAAAGTCCAAATTCAAAGTCTCCTGTGAGATTTAAGATAAACTTTTAGCTATGAGCTCCTGTAAAAATATAAAAGAAAGTTAAACACTGCTGACATACAATGTCATGGAGTAACATTCCCATTCCAAAAGGGAGAGATGGGGGATAGAAACCAATGGGAACAAAACAGGACTGAAACCCAGCAGGGCAAACATTAAACCCTATAGCTCTAGGTCCAACAACTGGACAAGCTGTGAATGCCAAATAGCTTAGATGGCCGCCCCTGCAGCGTTGCTGGTCATTGTAGCCCTCAGGGATTCTCTTTTGGGCTGGCTTTCAACAATCCCTGTGGTTTTCTCAGATGTCTCATGTTTCTGGTTTCTCCAACATTCTGGGGACTCAACTGCATTTTCAGCTTCTTTCTCACAGCTTCACACACTGCACACTGCCTGGCCTCCCAGGCATTCTTCTTAAATCTGGGTGGAAACCTCCCTGACCCCACAACTCCTGCTTCTGTACGCCTGTAATACCAGCACCACATGAATAATGCTAAAATCTCCAACAGTAGCTAGGCCCTTCTGTATCATAGCTGCAGGGCCCTCTAAGTATTTGGATGGCTGAGCACTGTGAAACGAATCTCAGGAAGCTGATTTCTTAGGCAGCCTTTCTTGAACAGTATGTCCTGGGGCTCTCTTCTCAATGCAAAGTCTTTCACTTTTTTCCACTCTTGAGTCTGCAAAGGGTGAGGCCTTGCTGATTCATGAAATGCCCTTAAGCCATTTTTAAAAGTTGTTCTCATCTAAAATACATAAAGTTTCTTTCTTTCTTTTATTTATTTATTCATTCATTCATTTATGTACTTAATGGGAAGGGGGATCAAACCTGGGACCTTGTGCTTACAAAGCAGAGAGCAAAACCACTGAGCTAAATCCCTGGCCATAAGTTTTTTTTAATGCTAATCTCTTCAGCAACCAAGCTTTCCTAAACTCCATCTTTTGTGGGTGCTTTCTTTTTAGTAAAACTGAAAACGTTTGAAATGAGCTTTTTACTCTTGATTTTCAGTACAAACCTGGCTAAAAGCTTCAACAGTATCCATGACGGTCCCAGTGTGGAAGTTTCCTCTGCCAGTTTAATTATTCTACTGCCTTAATCTCAGGCTCCCGCAAAATCTCAGGAGAGGAGCAAAACATTGGCAAATTTTCTGTCAGAGCAGAACACATGGTCTTGAGTCCAACTGCCAATCTGTCTTTCTTCTCAGCTGAGACTTCCTGAGCCTGGTCTTTACTGTATATGTTTTTATCAGCATTCTGGTTTTGTGAGCTCTGACCAGACTCTCCTATCAAACTCTACTTATAGCATTCTAGGGTTTCTCAAGTTGGTCTCTCCAAACTTTTCTAAACTCCTCCTACAAATTAGAAACCAGTTTCTAACAGGTATTAAACCACACAGTCAAGTACAGTCACCTGATGAACCCACATCTCTGGTGATAAAATCTGTCTTAGTTTTCTGGTTACTAAGACACAATACCCAACACACTGAAGAGGGAAAAGTTTATTTTGGATGACAGTTTGTAGAGGTTTCAATCCATGCATGTTTGGCTGGCTCCAGGCAGAAGCAGCATGGTAGAAAGTTCTGGCAGAGGAAAGCTGCTTACATCATGGCATCCAGGAAGCAGCAAGAGTTGGAGGAGGAGTCAGGAATGGAGACACAGCCTTCTAGACCACACCCCCAGTGACATACATCTTTCAGTTAGACCCCACGTATTAATAGCAAGTTAGCTAAAAGCCTCATAATCCAATTACCTCCCCAATTTCCAAGATATGATCACATAAGCTTTTGGAGGGCATCTAAATACAAACCTTCATACCGACTTTGAGATATGGACAGAAATTCACAGGTGCTACAAGGGGAAGAAAACCAGCAGTTACACATTTCAGGTGTCTCAGTTACTGATTAACCAGCTCAGCATAACACTGAAAAAATAAAAGCGTTTCTGTGGCTAAAAGAAACACATGGCTCGTGGAACTGAAGCTTAAATTGAGTAAATATGATGCTAGCGTGCTCACTTCGGCAGCACACATACTAAACATGATGCTAGTCGTCATGCTTAAAAGAGCTCTGCTGAAAATTGTAAGCAAGTTTCACAACAAAAGGTTATACAGGGAAATCAAGAGGTTGCTTTAAAAGTTTTAAGTCATTGTGAACCTCTTCCCTTTCATAAAGAAGCATCTCAAAATAAGTGTTCAGAGCTTCTCAGTAAGGCTTCCCCTTTCCTTTTCTACCTTCAGATCTGGGAGGCAATGACAAATTCTAGCCATGGGTATATTTGATTTTTCCCACTTCAAGTGATCTTGATTCACTTTACAATCCATTTACCTCCTCCTGTCTTCACACAAACCTTCCTTCTATATGGATAGCAGAGGATATTTATGCAGAAATTATTTTAGGAAAAATTACTGTTTTACCCTAAAATGACTCAGACTCATTTCCACTGAGTTGGATGATAAAAGAGGACTTCTACAACATGAATAAAATAATTACTTTTTAAGAAAAAGCAATGGGTTTTACCCAATATACAATTTTGAATAGAGGGAAAAGTGCTACTTACACAAAAGAAAACAGATGAAAAGAGTGAGGTCCTCCTGGTAAGGTGTGTTTCAAGAGAATTATATTACCGAGGTAACTCAGAAATAGCATGGAACCCAATGTTTTCCAAGTAGATTAAATCTTAGTGTTAAATACAAATGACGTGTAGCTCTGGAGAACTATTCGTGGTCCTGAGAATGGAGGAAGGCTGTTTCCCTGAGAATGCAGAATTGACTCTCTGTGCTCCCAAAGGAGCTACTGATCTGTTCATTGACATAAAACCCCATGACATATGGAGAGACCAAGCATAGGACAATTTTTACATGATGTGTACTTTAAACATTTTAGGAAAGGGGATAAGATGACAGGCAACAACACCCTCATTTTGCTTCTATTTTTCTTCTGTATTTCTGATTTGTATAGGAAAATATATTTATAACATCTTTTAAAAGGTAGATGGCAACAATAATTCCTATATTCACACATAATATTGCTTCAGAACGTGAACAACACATAACAAAAGATCAAAAAGCAAACTTCGGCATGAATTGGGGGTACCTAAACGGGACCTTGACGTCAGTTCTCAGCTGTTTTGTTGGACATGAGTTTACGTAGACTGCACACATAGGCATTTCTCACAATGATCCTTTGATAGATACTGATCAATGGTATGACGTTATATTCCCATTCCTTGGGAGAAAGGATGTCTTCTGCTCTGCCTAATGCTTTATTTAGAATCAGCAACTATTGTGGTGAGAATTACAAAAGAATGTTGGTGTGATCTTTGTTCTGTGATGGCTTATAATTTCTACGTTAGAGAATTAACCTCTTGAAACTTTAGGGGATTTTGGAGTGTCCGAAGCTTGCTTTCTTTTCAGTGATCAAGAAAATTTGAGGATTATAAAATGTTCCTTCTAATCAATCTTTTGTCTATTTCTGGCCCTCCCTTCCCTTTCCTTAGCTTCCTATACCTCATATTTGCTGCCCTAAGAAAACCAAGTCCTGTCATTTGAAAGGAGCTCCATCTTACCTCCAGCCTTCCATACTTAAGTTGATAACCCCCTGCCAAACGTTCAGTTATATTCCTCTGAGTGGAGTAGTATAGATGCTTCGGACTCTGGTTCAAAGCAATTCTTTGGAATCGATTTTATTTGCAGAATCTCAATATATTTGTAGAAACTTAGGTAACATCATCACATTTAAATGAAACGCACAAGTCCAAATGAGGTAGCAATTGACATGATCAAACTTTACTTACCACAGTTTTTTTCATCACTGCCATCAGCACAGTCTTCATCTCCATCACATTTCCACAGCAGAGTTATACAGCGGCCATTCGTACACTGGAATTGGGAAGGTTCACATTTTGTTTTTCTCCCTAGAATCAAGGAACATTTAGCAAATCAAGGAAAGAAGGGTGGTAGGTCAAGAGATAAAATTACTCAGAATCCATTAATAGCGATGCTTTCAAAAGTAGAGCTACCAACTCAGTTATAACATTCTAAGGGCCAGCGATGGATGGATGGGTCTTGAGGCAGTAACTAAGGGGAATTAGGTGAGCTGGGCATACTCTAATGCTCAATGGTTGGAGACATAACCAAAGGACTCATTCTGATTAATGGGATGTAAACAGACATGGTATATATGACTTCTAAGAAATATAGTCATGTGCTACATCATGATGTTTTGGTCACTATAAACCATATAAACACGAGTGATCTTATAAGACCATAATGGAGCTTGAAAATTTGCATCACCTACTGAACACACAGCTGAAGAAGCGGCAAAATAAGACTGAAGAAGAAGAAGAAAAACCTCAAGAAAATGCACAGGGAAAGGTTTAGCAGAAACTCTTGCAGAATTCAACAAGCTCCTTAAAAAGTCTGAAAACATGGATCCCCCAATGCTGAGAAGTTTTCCCTCATAAAGAGCAATGTTCATGGGAGTTGCAAGCAAATCCATGATGAAAAGTGAAACCAAGCAAGCAATCTACTGTGAGTATGTTTCTAAGAAGGGTGACAGCTACTCAAGAGCCTCAGGCAGGTCTCAAGAGGCATCCACAGGAAGGCACTGTTAGCACAGGAAGTGACCGCTCCGTGCATGTTCTTGCCTGTGGAGCCAGTCCAGTAGGACAAGATGTGGAGGTAGAAACCAGCAAGACTGATGATCCTGACCCTGCACAACCTAGTGTCTTCGTTTTTCAACAACAACAACAAAACAACAACAAAAAGGTTTAAATATTTTAAAATAGAAAACTTATAGGATAAAAATATAAAGAAAATATTTTTGTGCAGATGTACATTGAGTTTTAAGGTATTATCATACAGAGTCAAAAAGTTAAAAAGAATATAAATCAAAATTACAGTAAGAGCTGGGGACAGAGCTCAGTGGTCGGGGTTCCTGCTTAGCTTTACAAGGCCCTGGGTTGACTTCCCAACACCAAAAAGCAAACAAACAAAAAAACCTGCCAGCACATTAAAGATAATTTATTATGGAAGAAAAAAGAAAAAAAACATACCTTTTTCATAAGTTTAGTCCAGGCTAAGTATGTAGTGCTTCTAAAGTCTAAAGCAGTAGGCGTAGAACCGTCCTAAGCCTTTCTCGCTCATTGCCCCGCAAGACCATTTCCATTCATGCTAAGTGTACCGTTCTTTCCTGTGTACTGCAGCTTTACTCTGCTTTTTGTTTACATGTACAAAACATTACCAATGCATCGCAGTGTTCAGTCCAGCACCATGCTGTTCAGGTTTGTAGGCTAGAAGCACAGGCTACGCCATACAGCCCGAGCACGTACAGTAGGCTGGACCATCCCGGTTTGTGAAAGCAAATGACACGATATTTGGACAGTGACAAGAGGGCCTAACACTGTCATGCTCAGAACATAAACCCATCATCAGATGCTACATGGCTGTATCCTTAGAAGGAGAGGGGACTCCTTTTCCTTCCCTTCATCTCTTTTTGATCCCTGAAAATGGGGCATGGTAGCTGCAGTAGTGATCTTGGGCCAGTGGAGCTGGGCCGTGATAAAAGGAACTTAGATTTCCCAGAGGCCATGGGGCATCACTTCTGCTTCTTGTCTCATTTTCCTCGACTGTGTACATGACAGGTGTGACTATACACGTGCCGCCAACCCTAACTCTCTCGTGGCATTGCTCTCTCATATCCATACTGTTATTCCTAAATCACATTCCTATCACAAGCAAAGTAAAGCAGATTTAGAAGGAAGGCAGTAAGGAGAGAGTAGAAATTGTTCTTCCTCTTAAAAATTGAGGCCTAAATGCAAAAACACATGTTTGCAAAAATAGTGCCAAGATAAGATAAAAACACCAAGAAAGCCTAGGTAACAGACAGAAGGAGATCGTTTCTAATTTAGTGACGAGAAAAAAGGAGAGTGAGGTAGCACCACAGATATGGATCCCGTTTGTCTGAGCTCAGTTCTCTTTAGTTCAGTAAAAGCATTTAATTCACAGTGTTATGAACTGAACTTGGAGGGCACTCAGGGTTTTGCCTGGCACACAATAGCTAATGTTCAGGAGTTTCCTATCATTAGCAGTTCAGTCCTTCTGGAGGTTGTGATTACTTTGAGGGCACGGGTCTGGTCACTTGAGCCAGCCTCGAACAAATACTGGAAGAAACCATATAGTGCATGCAGATTGCTGGGGGAGGGAGGCTCCTAGCGGAAAGACTTCTCATTCTCTGCTACCTCACATCTGCAGCTGGGACACTGACATATAACAGAGACAAGCACAGACTGGAACTCTTGTGCTATGTGCACAATACTCCAGTTGGTCCTCCCGGTATCGAGTACTTGCTGTGGGACAGAATTCTGTGCTTTGTGGCTGATTTACAGGCAGATTAAAATTTGATCCAAGGAAGGATTACCACATGAGTGTGGTCACCTTCAGGCACAGTAACTATATTGCCTTAAAATCTGTATCTGTCACTCAGCTGCTAAGAGTCTAGTCCAGTTAGCACCCAGCTACAAAGCAATATAGTTTTCTGGTTATTTCCTGCCAACATTTCATAATACTTACTCATTCTATAGTTTTTGGCATATTGAACAGTAGGGAGTTAGGGGAATAAGAGGAATGATAGATTGTTATCAGGAAGCATCACTTATTTTTATGCCCCTAAGCTAGGGATGAGTTATTTGGCTGTCTCCTCTCCTCATCCCACTGCCACCGTATTTTCAGGATGGTGTTGGTTCCACGCAGGCCATCTGCCAGAGTTCTCCATCCTTACCACCACTGAAGACTGGGAATGGGAAGAGACTACTTTGAGTACTTTACTTTTTAAAAAATTAGAAAAAGAACAGTTTGTCAGAGAATATAGGTATCAATGCACTTAGTATAGTTCAACTGCAGCTAGAATGTGGTGAAAGTTGAAAAGCTTGGTCTTTTTCAAGGGCTCTAGTTACTGAGGGTTAAGTCAAAGAGAGACAAAAACTCTGACATTGACATCTACGTAGGCGACTCGTAGCCATATAATCAGACTTGGATAGAGACTTAGATGAAGATGTCAAGTGAAGACCTGCCATGTTAGGGTTGGGTACCTGGAAGACCTCCTTTAAAAATGAGGTGGTTTTTTGTTTGTTTCTACAGCTTTTGTAGATGATCAAGATATCCCGGGCTAAAGCATGGAGGTACAATAGTCTAAGGCTGACATGTAGTTCACTCTCATTCTCAAGAATGTCTCTGAATTTAGCTGGAGTATATAAGCTATCAATAGTACAAGTTTATTAAACTCTCTGCACCTCTGCCTCAGGAGTATACACTGAGGAGGCTCATAACATAGAAGCATTTTCTTAGTGTTCATTTCAATGTCCTACAGTAAAGGGAAGTCTAATTTCTACCTTTTCTTACCCTGGATGATGTGTGCACTTCACCCAAAGCTCGGCCTGATTTTTATAAAACTCCCCCTCCACGATACTCCATGAAGGAGGAAGAATAATTGGTAGTAGGGGTACAGTGTGCTGTTACTAAGATATCCCTACTTGTCTAAGAGAGGTGGGAGACTGGGGTGGGAGCGGGAAGGCTAGCTGGCTTTCTAAGGAGCCCTTTAAAGACAGGCAAACAAAGACCTTGAGCTTTATGGCCATGCCTCTTGGTTTCCTGAGCACTTTGTTTTGGGAGTTTGCTACATGCAGAAAGTGCTCCCTAATTCCATTAATTCCCTGCTTCACGCAGAGCAGGAAGAGCTCAGATGCTAAACTGAATGCTGAGACCTCAGCCCCCTGACTGCCCACACTGGGTTTTTTCTCCAGGTTCCATAGAAAGCCTATCTCTCCCTCTTTGGTGATTGACCAGGACTGCTGCTGTACAAAGGGGTCCAGGAGAATTTACAGCACCAGATGAGTTAAGAAGCTTTTGGTTACCAAAGCTTTGGAGGATTATAGGATTGCAGACCTGTAGTCTATTTCCATCCAAGAAAGTTAAATCTCAAGTTTAGTATTATATTTTCATAGAGGGAGCAGGCTGAGCTTGAGATCAACACACGAGGTTCTTTTAATTCTTATGCTAAGCTAAAGCCAGGGAAACCTCAAAATATAACCTTGGGAGCCGAAGCACTGGGCTCGCTACATTGCAGGTGCTGTCTGCTCAATCGTGTGAAAAGTCAGAGGAAAATGTAATTTTTATAGGGTTCTTCAATGCCCCAGTGTGTCACAGGCAATGCCTGAGGAGTGAAGGGGTGACATCAGGGGAAAAGCCATGACAGACAGGGCTCTAGATGTTTCAGCTCTTTTAGCCAGGGAGATTTTGAATACTGCAGTTTTGTACAAGAATTTGAAACATGTTCTCTTACAAAACAATCAAAGTATCTAGGTTTTGTTCTAATACTTTGAATATGGGTGTGGGTCAGGTGTTTCAAAGTTGCTTAGAACTGTTCACTTACGTGGACACCTAAATTAGTAAAAACAAATCCCCCAAGGTATCAAATAATTATTTGCTTTTGCTGCCACTCATCTAGATGGAAACACACTACTCAGGGCCCAGGAGCCTTGCTTATCCCAATAGATAAAGCTGCTACCCAGACAGAGATTGAACTCTGGTCCTTGTGCTTGGCAAGGCAGGCGGTGGGACCAGTGAGCTAAATCCCCAGCCCTCAGGGTTTTTAATATACAGATGCCAGCCTCCAGTGTCTAGTCATCCCTGCAAGGGTTAACATGGAAGAACAATATGTCAGCTTCAGTAAAAACTGCATGGACTTTACAGTGAATTTCAAGCCTTCAAGATGGGCTTGATTTCCCTGTGGGGGCTCTGAGCAGCCTCTTGGCAGAAGCTCATCAACATGAATGCCAGAACACAGAAGAGGTGTCTTCAGAGAGAACTTGAACTTGCACAGAGGGGCACATCCTGCCACACTGCTGAGGCTGCCCAG